AATGGTCAGGCATAAAGGCACAGGTCTCTATAGTGAGGGGATCACTAGTCCTTCAAAGGTAAAGGACAGGCATGACGAGACAGGTCTCTATAGAGAGGGGATCACTAGTCCTTCAAAGGTAAAGGACAGGCATGACGAGACAGGTCTCTATAGAGAGGGGATCACTAGTCCTTCAAAGGAAAAGGGTCACACATGATACCACAGCAGATCCCTACACAGGGCCAAACCAGACTTCATGAGATTTAATACAGACTGTACAATAATCACCAGGAAGTAAGCTCTCATCTGATTCAGGATCTGCACTAGCAATTAAAAAATCACACTCCATGCCAACACAGAAAATGCCAAATTATAATGCAATCTAAATGATGTCATAAAAACACCTTATTTCACCTTCAGTATATTAACATGAATTAACTGTCTCAAAGTAAAGACTTGTGGGCTTATTAAATATCAGGCAATTTCTACTAAAAGTGAATCAGACATCCGTGGGCTTATCACGACAAACATGGGCTTACTGCTGGAAAAATCATGGATATGGTAACGTCTGAGTTACTACAATTTTCCACGTAATAAAGGGTTTAAATCAGGCAGTTGAATAACCACCTTGGAAGTTTCATAACAGTCTATAAATAGTTTTTAAATGTATCTATCTTTTGTCAAGAATTCAATCGGAAAAATCTTTTTTTCGTGATCATTCTGTTTCAATTTTCTCCATTCTGTGTAGTTAATGGTGTGCTGAAAACTGGATTTACATGTGAATAAATAACAGACACTAAAACGAATCTGTCAAGAATTCATTCCAAAAAATCTCTCCATAGAATATATAACGTTTCATTCAGATTGGTTAATGGTGTGCTAAAAAATAGATTAACAAGTAAATAAACAACAAAGACAATAAAGACAAGTTGATTATGGTCTTTCTTCTCTGGTAGAACACATTTACTCAAATGTCTAAAGCTGAAAAGTCTGCAAGTTGCTGTCATTTTGACAGGATGTCATCTATAGAAAATTTAAAAAAGATCTATATTTGGCTTAGGCAGAAATCATCTAACTTTATTCTGTACAACAAAGCTAAATTGACCTTACACAGACAAGAGCATAAAATCTGTCAATAATTTCCCTTTATGATCAAATGTTTTCATACAAAATCTTAAAGCTAAGTGATGGCAGTTATTGAATAAGCTCTCAGTATAAACTTTTAATATGAAGAGACATTCAAACATTACGTTTTATCTCCATTTATCAATCAAACAAGACATTCTAATCCCTGTCTAATATCTTCCTTCTCTTTAGCCAGCCCTAAAATATGCATTAAAATCTTCAAGTTAATTTCCTTAAATGTTTTTTTTTTTCAATGACCCTCAGACTCGACTGTATGTGACAAAATAAGGTGCAGTAGATCTGTAGACTTTTTGTTTCCTTACAGTCGGCATCCAGACAATACCAGATACTTTGTCGGGTCACTTTGACAGTGATCCAGGGTATTGAATAAAACCACATTTCATTTACATGCGAATAAACGGGATGTTAAAATGAAAGAGTTCAAACATGGTTGTCATGGCAACTCAGGTAGACGGATTTCTTTATAATACTAAAAAGAAAAAAAAAGCACTTGGATACTTTTCTAATAAAAGATTAGGTGGTACAGGTGTGAAGTAGTGAAGTGTGGAAACTATTCCACTTGTACTTTAGCAAGAAGAGTATGGCATGTCTTTGCCATCTCAAATCTGCGTCCTCTACGTAATAGCCAATTTAATTTCGAAGGTGTCACTTTGTGCCTAAATTACCAATGGTAGTGTGTACTTTCAGTGTGAAAGCATTTGCGATCTAGAAAATATTTCGACAATTCCAAACATTTGTTGGCCTAAGCGCATACTTTTTAACACTATTAACAAACTGTTTGCAGGGACTTTTGATGCTACTGTGTTCCTGGAATGAGAATTACAAACTCTCCTCCAAATATTATAATCTTTTCCGTTTGAAGCTGTATCAATCCTATAGAAACTAATACAGCTAGCTCAAAATATTTGACTAAACTTTAACGATATGTTTAAAAAATATATAATATATCTAAGTTTTAATCCTTTTATCATATACATATAATTGCCTTAAATTAAAATATGTAACAAAATTATTTAAATTACACATCAGGTGGTTCAAAATTGTCTTAGTCTTCACTTAGTATTTTATTTTTCATTCTAATTGTCTAAGACTTCTGATTTTTAAAATTCTAGTAAATATGATAGTTTCTTATTGTTTAAATCTACTCTCATTGTAATCAAAACAGTCCTGTTTGTTTCTGCTTTATATCTAAAAGGATCCTGAGAAATTACTCCTCGTCAATGTGACAAGTAACAGCCAGCGCCATTTCTTCTGAATAAAAGTATTTTGTAATTGGTTAAAATCAATTCTCAACTAATTACGAATAGCACTTTGAGTCATTAACCAAAACACACTGATTCTTTAATTACATAATTCACAATACATTCCAAGATTACGTTCATTAACAACATCAAATGTAACAGCAATGATTGATCCGAATCGACTGTGGCTGAAGTGGGCCATTTTTAAAACTTCTCAGACGCAGCACTCTGCCGTGCTAACGTGACACACAACCATACCGCGACATTGATTATGCATGCAAGTTTTTCATGACCTCTTCATGTTATTTTTACTTGTGAAGTCTGGTTGATTAAGCTGACGCTTAACAGACGAGTTACTTCTTAGTGGTGTTACATATTCATGATCAATTCACCAAGTGGAAGCAATATCGTATTGATCGGAGAAATCACCCATCAATGTACATCTTTCTTATCATTTGCTCCAAGTTTAATAAACTTTTTATCTGTGTTGATCAGATCACTAATTATCTTATATATTCAAATAATGTTGATAAGATTATAATAAAAATGTGACTATGAAGTAACTAACATGTCAAAATACCACTATTACGACACCTGTGATGAAATAGGGATATCTGAGGTATGTTCTGATTACCATGGCGACCTAAACAGATAACATGTACTTAGTACCAGGATCACCAGGAAACGTGGGGTTAAAAGCTGGGCATGGACCTGTGTACGTTTATATGACAGTACAAATTAAATTTTAGGGACCCTGGGGATGGACCTGTATACATATATATGACAGTACAAATTAAATTTTAGGGACCCTTAAAAAAAAGAATGAAAGTCATTTGTTAACTTTTTTCCCATCATTTTTCAGGTTTTCACGGCTCCAAAAAGTTAGCTAAGTATTTATTCTCGTAACAAATACTTCACAAAAACATACAGATTATATATATAATGTATCAAATATTTTTTTAATTATTGATCAATTTTGTCACTTAATAAATTATTTACACTAACAATTTCTGAACATTAATGTATGTATAAACAATATTTGATCAGAAACCTGAGATATAGGTCAACAAACTAGTCTCTCACCCAAACACACATTGTAATCATCCATAATTAGCCATGAGTACTAATTTGTTTACAAATCTCACCTGTAAGTATTTACATAGTACACTCCTTGCTAAGTCATCGGCACATCGATGATTGAATTACTTTTCATCCTTGTACAGGAAGTAGATCAAGTCAATATTACAGAATTCAATGTCTACCACTGTTTGTCATAAGTATGAAAACCTGCTAGATCAAGACAAGCTGTTTCAAAACTGGACTTTACAGACAGGCTAGTTCCAGGTATAAGATACCCTTTAATTAGTGGTGAAATGTGTGTGTGATCCCCGGCGAGGAGATAACCAATCAGTGTGAGTGTAATACTAAACAGAGTACAGGTGAAACCGACTGATCATGTCCAGGAAAGGTTAATAAGGTAGGAACACTGTCAGGTAACCAACATAAAAATGGTCAATATTTGCTATCTGAAGTGTCTTAATTAACACAAGGTACAGAGCCTGGTCAGTGCACAGGTGTAAACACATGATCTAAGGTGATTATAGGTACACACACAGGTACACAGGTAGGCAAGTTGGAAGGTACATCTGGATCAGGTCACATGACCTATCAGCGAAGTCAATCAATTTAAGTTAATAGCCTATACATGCAAATAAAATCCCTTTCCAATAAGATCTATTATCAATAAAATAAAAAATTCAGCCAAAGACGAAGTCCCCCTAAAAAGCACCCTTACAATCTAACCATGACGCTATTAAATATCTGACTTGCAGAGTTTGTGTCCGAAAAAAAAAAAAGAAAAGACTTTTGTGAAATATTCTGAAAATTTTTTATGCATTTTCTGTAAAAACTCTCTGAAGTGAATCATATCAGAAGACAATACATATTGATTTAGTCTTGAATTCCAAATAATTTATGAGTAATTATTCCAAAATATCATCAGAAAGTTGACCAGAAATAAATACACCTGGAGCATTTATAGATCAATGACCTGGAAATTCCACGCCAGTGTTAAAAGTCACTGGTGGTCATCCGAGCTCTTTTTTCTGTGGCTTTAGGAATGTGGTTTTAATGTGACCACTAAAACTAGTATTGACCACGAATGAATACATAAAAAGATTCTTAGCCCAGGTGATCAGCCTGTCTACCAGGACATGGTTGAAAATGTACAGGTATTCAAAGTGATATGGCTGATATAACAATGTTTAAAGTCCACATACAGATCCATACAGCACACACTGATCAGTTCCTGCAGTCAGTTTGGATTACAAGAATATATCCTGATGTAGTTCTTCTTTTCTTTAGTCAATATGACTTAATTCATATCTTAGTTCTATATTGCAGGTGCTAGCTAGCATCACCAAAATGTTTAACTATATTCCCATGTCTCACACATACATTGTGGTAGGAAGAGAATCATCTGCTCAATTATTCATCTTATAATGTTGCATTTATATTCCTATGAATGCATTTTCTTTACATAGTATTTATACAGAGTTTTGCAGCAAAAACGTTATTCCTTTATTGAATATATATAACTGCATCATGAGACATAAATAAAGAGTAGGTACTTACCTGTTTGTCTGTTGGTTATTGTGCCATTTCACTGGGACTCCAGACTCAACTGCAATGATCTCCTGTAATGTAGGAGGAAAAAAACCTTAGAAACTGAATATAAACATGTGTCATCATAGAAGGAAGATATCAGTTGATAGAAAAATATACCATTGGGTTTCACAAGCTGACTTCCCTGTCACACGTAGAAAGGTACTGAACTTCTGGGTATCCACCCATACATTTAGTACAGGGAAGGTTTCAGTTTCTTATTCCAAATTTTATCTTCAAAGTGTCCTTCAAAATGTAACAGATCATATTTATCGGCCAAAGATAATAGGAGTTTTTTTTGTCACCACTGACAATTATTACTTCCTGTTTCTATTGTAACCAGTTGTATCACACAAACTCTTGTTTTGTATGTCTGACTATATTACATGTCAAAGAGGCTAGGTCATGGGAGCGCTTGTTTTGAATGTATAGTAATATCAGGCCAAAACTTTCCAGCTCTGTAGTCACCCAAACTGTCAAAATATCGCAGGTAAAACATGACGATAAGATCGTTAAATTGGCCCATTCCAGCTGGTTGAAAAACATTAAGAGGGAAAAAAAAAAAAAAGAAAAAGCACTTGAAAAGATTTCTAACGTTTCCGGCCTTCTTCTGGGTCTATGTGGGTTTTCATTTGTGGTGAAAGCTGAAGATATCATACTAGAACATATTTTTCAATATCGAAAATACTATCAACAGCACTTTTTATATTCTATAAAATAAATGTGAAAAGAAAGCTCAAATGTGTTGAGGATCCACGCAAATCTCCTTTGGGATTGAACCAACAACCTCAGGCTTTCCAGTTTGATCGCGGTGCTATTGAACCACATGGAAATTCCCTCAAGTCAAACATATACACACATGTGTTTATACATAATGCTGTAAAATATATCAAGCCAACATTTCATTTATAGTAATCCTCATCACTATAAAAGTGACAGATTTTGAAACATGGTTTAAAATATCAATTGCATCTGTTCCACAAATCATTAGTAATGAAATGAGGGCTATAGTTGGGGGACTGCTCAGAAACATGAAATATTAATCACAATAATTACATGTTATCACCAGTGCTGTCGGATATACCAGTATGTGTAAGATTACAGGACAAACAATATGTCTACTGTCTACAAACCAGAGATTGTAATGTCTGTCTAACCACTGTTATGTTAATCTCAACAGTTAGTTTTCTACATTTTAATCATACAAACTAGCTCCTGAAACTGACAAATGATATTGTCACTGTATAAATTCTTATCCAACTGTATCTAAACTGACCAGCTCACTATAGGTTTGACCATATAGTCCTTAAACTGACCAGCTCTTTTGGTCAGTCCCTAAACTGACCTGCTCACTATATGCTTTACCATACAATCCCTTAACTGTCCAGCTCACTATTAAACTCTATAGTCTCTATATACTATGTGATGCTCTGGATATACTATGTGATGCTCTGAAAGGACTTTAAATGCTCGACTTTAAGTCTCCTTGACTACACAGGTCTCTAAATGGTTGACTTCAAGTCTCCTTGACTACACATAAGTCTCCATGACTACACAGGTCTCTAAATGCTTGGCTTTAGGTCTCCATGACTACACAGGTCTCTAAATGCTTGACTTTAAGTCTCCATGACTGCACAGGTCTCTAAATGCTTGACTTTAAGTCTCCCTGACTACACAGGTCTCTAAATGGTTGACTTCAAGTCTCCTTGACTACACATAAGTCTCCATGACTACACAGGTCTCTAAATGCTTGGCTTTAGGTCTCCATGACTACACAGGTCTCTAAATGCTTGACTTTAAGTCTCCCTGACCAAACAGGTCTCTAAAGGCTTGACTTTAAGTCTCCCTGACTACACAGGTCTCTAAAGGCTTGGGTATAGGTCTCTATGACTACACAGGTGTTTAACTGCTGGGCTACAGGTTTCTAAATGTTTGACTAGCTCCCCACAGTGATAAGATCATAAAGTGATAAGATCAATATGTTTTTTACCATTCCCTTTCTTTACATTGTAGATCCCCTTATTCACTGTCCAGGGTATACATGTCTGACTATATGTTTTTCTCCTCTAGGTAGATATCATTGATACCTATAATTTAATGGCAAACCACACACCAAAGCTCTGCTTCCTCTGGACCACTGGATCAGTTGAGATAAATTGCCTGGCAAAGCCACCTTGTTAAGCCAATCAATGTTGACCAGAACAAACCAGATAGGATGATTAGATTTCTATATGCATATTGCTGTAATTAGGAAGAGCTATAAAGCTAATGACCACATGTTGTTAACACTGAGATCTAGAGCAAAGTATGGCTGTGAATCTCTCTCCCTAGATATCAATCAAGTTTGACCACACTCCTGCTAATATACTATGGTATGTACAGCAGTCAAGCATGACCAGACATTAGTTATAAAACATGCATCTAGGTAAAGTTGACCACAGGTCACATCAGGACATCAGTCAACAAGGTCAACTAAGGTCATCCAGCTCTGACCACAGACACCTTAATTGACCACTGTGTGTAAATTATGTCTCCTCATCAAGCAAGAGGAATCCATTCTACAGGTGTTATACAGAATCTGATGAGACATTAAATGACGCCCCAGACAGACTGACCACAGGGAGCCATCTGAGGACAGCTCATCAAACTGACCACAGAGGACCAAAATCAATATCTACTACTGGCCAGCTGGATATGAGGCTGTGGTTAGCCCTCAGTAAATGTCCAGTGTGTGATTTATGAGCTTGATTAACTATGTTTATTAAGCTCTCACCTGGAGCAAATCTTATTGTCTGCACCTTAGAAGGCATTTCCATACTTGTCATAAAGGCTTTTGGGGTCATTTTTCTCATTAGAACATACTAACATACACATATCTGATGTATTTAATAAACTGGAATATGGTATTATCATCAGGAACATTGAAATGATCTCGGTGTGTATAAAACAGGTCAGTAACAGAACCTGAAACAGGATCATGTAAACATTGACTTTCCAGTCATCAAACATTCATCACTGACACAGCAATCAATGAAATTTGAAAGTAATAAAAACCAGATATGTGCATGTACTGAAATTGGTGCATTCACTCCTGGAAATGTCACTTATCTGCAGGATGCTGTAGAAAATGATATCCCTGTTAGAGGTAGGGTATAACTACACTAAGCTGGCCCAGGATAAGCTACTTTCTCAAGCAAGGGTCAGGATTTAGTAAAGTAAACATAATAGCTATAAATATATGGTATGAAAGCCATAACAGTTCAAAAGAATGATTGGTGTCATAATATCCATTTCAAATAGAGGTCACAGTTCAATCTATTTGATAAAAAGGTCAAGGACATGTCTATTTCAGGATAGGTCAAGGCCACAACTTCTTATCAATAGTAGGAGAAATACTTCCTGATTATTTTTAGTTTATATCAACTTACAACATAAAAAAGCACTTGCTTATTTATAGCATAGGTTTTCCAATAATATAGGAAATCTAACTTGTTCTTAGAAAAGGATGAAGTGTCAGATCTTATAGAAATACCCCCTATTTATATTAGGAATATGCCCTGTTTATTTATAATATAGTAGGTCCAATACATTGTTTACTGAGCAGAGGGTCAGGTTAGTCGGAGATTTCTTTATGTGAAACCAAGGCCACTCCGAAGGTCACCTGGGGACATGAGATGGACTTAAGACAGACAGCTGTCTTGACTCCATAAAATCTTAATGACCACTGTAAACTGACCAATGACATTTTGTGGTGAATGGAGTGCAATGTTGAAAAATTTTGAATAAATTTGGGATAAAAATCCAGAATAACCAGCACAGTAAGACATATAAAAATTTACTGGTGAATTACTTAGATAAGGAACCTTTAATACTATGGAATGGCCCTGTGTATTGACTCTCAGCCTCTCACATAGCAATGACAATGGATGCACATCACTATCTTATACATATTTAAATATGTTCAATGTCAGTGTAATAATGAGGTATGGCTAGAGATGTATTGACTAGATAGGCTACAATGTTCCAGGAAGAACACTTTTCTCACCTGGGCTGTAGTAAATTATACAGGTGTATAGAAGTTTTATACATCCCCCAGACAACACTAGCTGTAACCTAGTTATAGACATAAATAACACTTAGAACATAGACGTGTTACATTGAAAACAATACCAATCTGACATTTTTTTGATGCAATGCATTTATAACATTAGACAGGATAATCAAATTAGGATATTTTTAAGTAGCAGATATGAGTGTGTGTTTGATTTCTTTATTTTAACAAAACATTTCTTGATATATGCTAAAGAAGAAAATGTGTCAGAATGCAGAGGTCTTTTAATTATTTATTTTGGAAACAGACGTGGTATTAACCAGGTAAACAGAACCTTTATATACCTGATGAAAGAAAGTCACAGGTAAACAGAACCTATATATACCTGATGGAATAAAGTCACAGATAAACAGGACCTATATAATACCTGATGAAATAAAGTCACAGATAAACAGAACATATATATACCTGTTGAAATAAAGTCACAGATAAACAGAACCTATATATACTTGATGAAATAAAGTCACAGATAAACAGAACCTTTATAATACCTGATGAAATAAAGTCAGATAAACAGAACCTTTATATACCTGATGAAATAAAGTCACAGATAAACAGAACCTTTATAATACCTGATGAAATAAAGTCACAGATAAACAGAACCTTTATATACCTGATGAAATAAAGTCACAGATAAACAGAACCTTTATAATACCTGATGAAATAAAGTCACAGATAAACAGAACCTTTATAATACCTGATGAAATGAAGTCACAGATAAACAGAACCTATATAAACAGAACCTTTATAATACCTGATGAAATAAAGTCACAGGTAAACAGAACCTTTATATACCTGATGAAATAAAGTCACAGATAAACAGGACCTATATATACCTGATGAAATAAAACTGTTATGATAACAGGTAAAGCGCTATTTGACAAAAATTTGAAACCTGACTTATGATAAGTTTCTTTGAAA